GCTGTTCCCAGAGGTTCCACTGCAGTTCCTAACCAGATATAAAGAATGAAGCACCCATGCTTCCCAATCATGTGGAGCATCAAAAAAAAAAAAAAAAAAACCAAACCCAAAACTCAAGCATCCATTTCCTTGTCTGACCAGGAGCAGAAATTTCATCCTGCACTTTCCCATTTCACAAGAGAGAAAAGAATCACCCACACAGAACTTCCATATATACACATAATAATGTTTTCCTTGGCATTAAGAAGGTCAGACAATCACCTAAAATTTCTTAATTTGTTTGACTGAGATGTCCACACCACTGCCATCCATCACGAATTTTGTCAGCAATTCACTTCAAATAAAGCAATGACTAGTTGGGGCTTATTGTTCTTCAAAGGCTATTTCAAGGCTATCTCTTGATTGTAAAACAAGTGCACCTCCTAACTGCTGATTTATTGTTCACTGGTACCTTAATACACAGCACAATGCCCTCCTCCCAAACATCTGGAGCACAGCTGGCTATGCTTAAACTCAAAAGAACTGTAGTCGGTCCACTCCTGACATACAGAATGTTGGGAGGCAAACAAATTCTCTATTGGCAGCTATATCCCTTTTTGTTTCAATCCATAGATACACCTTAAAAAGTTTGTTACAGTTAGTCACTGAAAACCACACAACTCCACTTCATCCATACCATGGAAAAAATCCCTTTGTAGTGGCAGAATTCTCCAATGTCCTTTTGTTAATTCCAAACAATAAGGCTTAGTATTACAGAAAGGAAAGAAAGAGACAGCCCCCCACGCACACTTTAAAAGTGTCTTCCCAGTACCAAGCGCTCACAAGGTCTCCTCTTACAAGAGAAACATAACCTGTGAAGAAAACAACAGAACTAACTTCAAAGGATGGTGCAGGTTTGTATTCTCACATTCAGTACACAGGCACATACAAAAAGCAGGCTTTTCCAAGTGCACTGCAATCCATCATTTGAAGCTTGTTTTGTTGCATCAGATGCTCATCTATTTCAGGTGACAAGAACACACTGCTTATTACTTTATCCAGTCCGAAATCTGACATACATCCCAGTGCTATGGGAAGGAGATAATGTAAATCTATCCTTTCCCATGTATGGGAAGCCTTACAACACACTCTCCTGATTCTTCTCATGTGTTTAGGAACGTATTTCTGCAAGAGCACTGCAAACTGTTTGACAGGATTAAATTAAAGCTACTGTCTGGACATACCATCATAATCATTAGTGCATGTAAATGCATTCTGTTCAGAATTCCTACAGGACTGCCAGTGAAACTGCTAGAGAAATACCCAGCACAGGCAATGTCATTGCTCATGTCTCACAGCACTGCTGTATGCACACACACAACAGAAGACGCAGCCCTCCTGCAAGCCTTTTTTCCTCCCCTTTGCTTTCCCTGAGCCTTTACAGTAGGATTCCTGTACTTCATCATCTGATAAAAACAAGCTTCAGTCATCTGCATTGGCATGCAGAGCTTTACAGGCATCTAACAGCATATTTGGGGCCTGTGTCTTTGGCAACACATCCTAAAATTTACTAACAGCCAAGGCTTTGATTTACAAACCACAAGATTATAAAAGACCACATGGATGTTTTCAGCTTTTACTCCAATATCTCATCTAATCTGCACATAAAATGCTCCAAAAAATATGTCTTGCCCACTTCCCTTATGGAATCTCCAATGGCCAATTATCAAGGCTGTTTAAAATATTTTTGCAGCCTACCCTAATATTTTATGTCTTCAGTTTTGGGACTGTCAATACCTCAAAAGCCCAGAAACTTTATAATTTGAGGAGAAACACACAGTAAACATAAATGAAGTGTAATAAGTATTTGGAGATGCTATCTTTTTTCCCCTCAAACTAAATACTTCAGGCTGAATTGAGTGATTCTGTAAAACACATATTGCACATAGCAAAATGGTACTTTTTATTCACAATTAACATTTACTTTTTCACCATTTATTTTACCAGTAGGAAGAATTTCCTAATAAAAGAGAATAACGGCCGGGGGGGGGGGGGGGGGTCGAGGAGTAGCAGAGCAGAAAAATGATTTAAAGAAAAACATCATTCCCTGGCAGAGGACTGACCAGAGAGCGCAGTAGGTTAAATGCACTGATCATCCTCAGCATTCTCCAATTATACATGTGTATGGCTTGGCCTTGCCCAGTGTTTACATAACCCCTGCAACTAACATCTTGAACTATTGTACTGCAGCAAATATCACTACAAGCATAAACAACTGCAAAAAAAGCATCCAGGAAAAATATTGACAAGTTTGTAGCCCACAACTGCAGATGGTGGGAATTGGTGGAACCTTTGCAATGCAAACAGTGCCCCAGATCAGTTCTTCATACAGAGAAAGTTTCCAGTGATAAGTGACACATTTAGGGCATGTTCCCTTAAAAAAAAAAAGGGAAAGGCCTGTCTCCCATCTAGCAGCTCATTGTTCACAAATGGAACAGTGTTTACACAGGAAGAAGTCCAGTTTCAGCAAACGGGAAGTCCAGCAGATGTTTCCTTCTATCAAAGCAAAACAAGTTTAAAACAAGTTTGCGAATTGCTTTTGCCCAATCAGAAAGCTTCAAAATTAATTCTACTGAGGGGAAAAAAAAAATACTCAACAGAATGACCTTGGAAAATAAAATCAGAAAAACTTTTATTTCAAAACTGCAGCTGCTAGAATCAATTCTTTTGAGAAAAAAAAAAATTGGTCTTCTTTACAAATGCTTTATGATCCAGGTTTGGAGAAATAAAAGGAAAATTGTAATTTTGGTCTGTTCTGAAAAAGGAAAGTAGGGCAGATTCCTACCCACACAGCTCCACATCTCAAATCTTCTCCAACCAATCAAACCAATCAACCTCTCCTCTCCAGACCTCTCCCAACACCCCCCAAACTTCTGGCTGCTCTTGACTTCCTCATTTCTCTTCAGATCTTCAAGTACCTCTTCCTTGGTACACAGCAGTTAAATAATAGAAGTGGCTGGGCAGAGTATAAAAGGTACAGCTCTCATCTTTTTCTTCACTTTTATTTTATTTTATTTTATTTTATTTTAATTACTGCTACCAGTACACACTGGTTACACAGCAAGCATAAGTAAAAAAAAAAAAAAAAAAAAAAAAAAAAAAGATGAAGAATTTCATGCTTTGCCAAAATAAGTTCTGTTGAGAGCATGATATTACCCATTGGACTGTTTCACTGATCATCCCATTCCATAATTTCAGAATTTGCCTGATGTTATTGTATCATTACAATGGTAAAGAAATCTTGCAGGAGCTGTTTCTTTTTCTGTAGCTAACATCTTGCTCCAGAAAATCAGATGAGAGTGACAAAGTAGCACTGAGGAATTTTTCCAGTTCTTTAAAGCTTTTGTAAAATGCAACTGCAGAGCTCCAACAAATTAGACTAACAGCTAGATAGATACAAGTGTCAAAGCCAAGGATAAAATACTCTTAACTACAAGTACAGCAAGTGCAGTCAGTGCATGCAGATTTCTGCACCCATCTTTGCCTCTCTGAGCCCATTCTTCACTATAGTTCATTCATCTCTTTTTCTAACTACTTTGTGAGTATTATACAAAGTTCCCACCTCCACAATATTCATGCATGGCATGCTTGGCACTGAGGTTCCTTACCCCAGTGGAGGCTTCTGCACATCCTAAAATGTATACAACAAAGTCAGAGCTATAATATGGAAGCAGTGAAAGGCACCATTACTACAATTAACACAAGCGTTAGCCATCTGAAGTAGACCACGCCATGACATACTTCAGATCTGCCTATCAAACAGTTATAGCAGAAAGTGGAGGTGTTGTTTTTTTTTCCTCATTCCTCCAATAATCCTTTTTGTCCTTTAAGCAAATCTTACGTGTAATCTCAATCCGTCAGCAGTTCTGTAAAGAAATACCAGCTCAGATCTAATTGGATTTGTCAGAAAACGACAGCTAACCAGTTCTGCAAGCCCTAGCTGAAGGAAAATCTTCCAAGTGGGAACATAGAAAAATACCAAAGTTCATTTCAAGAAGAAAACTTTCCTCTGAAAATAACTGGTAAAAAGATATAGTTCAAACCCTGTCCCTTAGCAACATAAAGATGTGGTGTGGCATAGCTAAGGTTGTGTGAGCTGCTCTATATAAATGATTATTTGCAGTTAACTGTTTAAACGTCACTTCAGGTTGCTTTGAATTTGATAAGATTGCTCAATGTTTGCCTATGCAAACTTGCTTTTGTTTTATACTTTTAAACCTCGAATAAGAAAATGGGAGAAAAAAAAAAAAAACAGAATTCTGACAGGAATACGTAACAGTAGTATTTAAAAAGAAGTATCTATTACATTGAATGCAAATGAAAAAAACTTGGAACACGCATTTTAGCTGAACAGTTGAAATACCTCCTACACCTCTGGGCTTCTAGATGTTTTCTCACAAATACAAGAAAACAAACATGAACCTGATTGTTTTGTTGATGATTTGTTCTGCACATGTTTCTGGCTCAAATAGTGTCAGAATAGTTCAAGGACAGTCTAGAATACAGTGGCCCAAAGCCCACACAGGCATCCCCTCCAAATGATGAGACACAGTGCATTACAGTGCTGCAGAGGTACAGGTTAAATACATATAATAGGCCAAATCTTACAGTGCTTTCAATGCATTCAAACTGTGATTTCCTTAATGGTGACCAGATCCAGAAGAAAGAAAAGTCACTAGATGGTCTGTACATTGAGAATTGAAGTGACATTTACTTCACTGGCTTTAAAATGACAATCACTAATTTTTTTACATTTATATTTAGGAGAATATCAACTTGATCACTTAGAAACACCATCATCTTCTATATCTGCACAGTTGGTAGGCAGCATGCCTATGACTCAGGAATAAAAGTTATCTTCACACTGAATTCAGAAGCAGGTTTTGATCTGGGGCAAATGCTATATGAAATGGTATGGTTCACTGTCTCCATCAATAATCAGGAGCTGCACACTCTCCTACCTGTTGGCTTATCCACACCAAGGAATCCAGCTTGGCCCAGGGTTTTAAACACTTTATGTGCTGGGAACTGTCCTTCTTCTTCCCATTTGTCCACAAAGGGGTTAATCTCCTTGTCAATGATCTAGATTTGAAAAATAAATTTAAAGTTACTGACAGAGACATTCTTACTGAAACAACACTGACTATTTTTGTCTAAATGATTAAAAAAGGAAAAGAAATACACAGGGAAAATTTTGAAAGCACCCACTCACAACTACAACAGCTGCAATGGGGTAAATTCTTTTAGCAATTGCAACTAATGCAACAGGAATTTAGCAGGACTGGTTTAAGCCCAGGAAAATGGCAATTCCCCATCATCAATTATTATCTTCTTGGGTACTATTTCTAGAAAGCAATGGGAAGAGAAATCTGAATTGTCCTCAGAGGGACACAGCCAAGGATGGATGATGGCCTGTTCATGATGACCACACACAGCACACAAGACAAGCAAGTAAAAGGGGCTTCATCTCCCTTCTCTTTGCTCATCCTACAAAGCCTCAGATTTTCATGGCCATGAAAAGGGAGCAGATTGGCAATCTGCAGTTCCACAGCTGAGTTCTGAGGAACTGCTCAACAGAGCCAGCACCATGCCTCAGTCCCCTGCACTGTGGTGTTGGTTCCCATGCCCACTGACCTTTCGTGAGGCAGATGGTTTCAAATAGCTTTCAAAAAGTGTCTATGATATGGCGTCCACCTCTTTCTAGCTCCACAAGCCAAGCTGGGTGCTGGCACATGCTTCTGCTGGGCCTCCAAGTGCCTCGTGCAACTGAGTCAGCACACACAAGAGCATTCAATAGTAAAGCAAAAAAGCCACCAAACCACACCAGAACAAGTACCATTTCTCAATCTAATGTCCCTAGTTCATGACCACAATTTTACTGTTACACCATTCTACACAGAGAGAATTTATTATTTTAAGAACTTCTCTTAGTCTTTTCTCCACGCTAAATAAACAAGCCCTGTAGTGCTAACTGTTCCTTAAGCTGGAAATAGATCTCTTTTCCTCTTGAAGTGCCGTGCTCATGAGACCCTGTGGAGTGTTCTTCTCAGCTGTCTATTTATTGCACATTCTTCAGAGAATTTCAGACCATATACGGTTGCTTTCTGCTTCCCCGCTGGTCACAGAAATACAGATACTTCACTGTTGGCTACAGAAAATCACTTTTTCTATTCTCCTACTAAATTCTGAGAAATACACAAGCTCAATGTTCATCTCACTCAGTAATTACTATCTCTCTCTCCTTCTCTTATACTACCTGACATAGACCTCATGGCCAACACTAACAAAATACTCACCAGGACACTAGGACAGCCTACATTTAACTATTTGTATTGCCATATCCACAATGCTCAGACAGCAGCATGTGTGCCCTTCATGCTGAGTAACAGGACATGAAGCATGTTCTGGATTGTACTTTTTGTAACACGTGCTAATGCTGATCTGAAAACACCCAGGGAAGTGCCTGAAAGCGATTATGAAGCCTATACAGAAGGCCAACCTGGTGTTTTGACAGATCTTGGCAAAAGTTTGATGTGAACATACTAACACAATTCTGTATTTGTTATGGCTGGTATCAAGCCAAGTGTTTCACATAAGAAACTACCTTTGAAGTTCAACAAAGTCAGAAGAATGACGGAGGCATTCAAGAAGTTCTTCACATAATTCCTGCATATTATAACCTGCTTCCTTCTGTGCTTTTGAGCAGAGCTCAAGCTGCTTGACAGAACCAAAGTTTAAAAACTAGCAGGTGAAATTTGTCATGTCTAGTAAAGCAAGATCTACCTGGCATGACACAAAAACAAACAAAAAAAAAAAAATGGGGACAGCCTCGCTGCAAAAACTGCACTAGAGTTTGTGTTTCCACAGTCAAGAAAAAATGAACATCACAGTCCAGATATCAATATCCAGTTATTTCTTAGCTCCTGGACCATCCACTTTAAACTGTGTTTACGATTCACAATCGTAAACAAGACTCTAAACAAATTAACCTACTTTCAAACAAGAGAAGTAACTCCTTCAGAAGTATTATTCATGAAAATAAGACTTTAGGTAATTTGCACAGAATCAAAGGGGAGGAAAAAGTTATGGGTCAATCAGACAACAGGCAGCACCAGTTGGAGAGAGCACCTGGAGGAACCCCTCTCCTTTTGCTACTACATACAAACATGCTAGAGAACTGTGGTGCTGGTCAACCAGCTGATGCTTTAATACTGATCATTGGATATTATCACCCTTTCATGCAAAAGCTGACAGAAAGAGACATTCTCTGTGAATAGTCAATTACCAAAGGAATTTGCACACGTACAGAACTTGTACTTTAAACATTGCTAAAGACAGATGTATTTGGAAGCAGATCAAGTTTGCTGTATGTTTCATTTGCCCTTTCCTTTGGTTTTTGCCAAAATGTGATGTGTGATCCCAGAGAATTACATCAAGCTTCAATCAATTTATATGGTAAGTAATTAATTTTGAATTAACTTACATTTTCATAGTGCACACAGCTTTCAGAAGCAAACACTAAGCACTGCAGGCACCTTGAGCTAAATCATAAGGGATACCTGCCACATATGGTAATTACACAGAAAAAAAGCTTTTAGCAGTAGCCAAGAAGCAGTTTTGTTTATTTTTACAGGCTTTATCACAGAAAAGAATGTGGAAATCGTAGCTGGTAACATTCAGACATACACCACTAGGATAGTGACTACAGTAAGAACTAAAACACCTCTCAGCAGGTATTTGGGATCTAATGCCTATTTGGGAGCCCTATATCTTTTCTGCCTACTGATAGAGTAAGCCACAGCAGAATTCTGCTCTTGTCCTGGCAGTGAGGACATGGTTAAGTCTTGTGTGCAGGAACAGAGGTTTTTCAGGCTGCTTCAACAGCCCATAAAAACATAAAACTAAAGGACTCAACTCTGGAGACAGACTTGGCTCAGTCTATAGCTCAGTGATGCAGACTGCCATGGTTGGTATAAGCCATGAATTATTTTTAAAAACACTGTGTGCGCATGTCCAGTCAGAAAATGATTAAGACAACACACTCATCTCATGTTCAATGGTAGTAAGAAAAATAAAAGTGCTTTATATTTCAAGTAGTCTTTACAAAGTGTTGTGAAAACAGAACCTGTAACTTTCTGCTCAGGAAAGAGAAAATTGAGCAGGGGAGTAAGGGGAGGAGAAAGACTGAAATACACTTTTTTTTTTTTTTTTTTTTTTGTTATGGATTATTTTAATCTCCATCTAGAAGAGAGAATGAGAAATATCTCCCCAGAACATTGCCAGATAGTTGCATGCTTTTCTTATTTTTCCCTGGAAGTTATTGTACTGTTTAAATGAGTAAGAAACAAAACCACACACATGAGGATTTTCCTTTGCATGGTGCTCAGTATTTTCTGCTGACATTGTACCAGCAGCATTAGAGATTGTCATTTAATTCTTACTGTAATCTAAAACAAATACCCTATTCCTAGTGGTAACTGTAATTAAATCACTTTGGGTACTGAGAGTGTCTACAGATATTCTTTACAACCACTAAAGACTTCTTTCCATTATTCACCATCAAGTTTACCGTTTAGCAAACAATTCAAATCTGAAATTAAAAATAACATTCAACACACAATATCTCATATCTGTCTCCTACAATACTGTACAGTGGTAGTACAATATTTCAGCACACAATAAGTAGGACAATGTATAACCTTGAGTCTTACAAAAAACAACAACAAAAAAGAAAAAATACATTAATATGCATTCCTACAAAAAGAAACTTTTACTAAAATGTCCTGTGAGTTACACCTGAGATTAGGCTAACTTACTAGAAAAGCAAGAGAAAATGTCTGACAAAAAACATACCTTTGTATTTAGAAAATTATATGGATTTTGAGTTTGTTTTTTATGACAATGGGACTTTCTATGAAGATTATAACATTAGGTAGGGATGAGATTCACCTGTCTAGAAGAGACAGGGCAATCTTTGGCAGCAGGCCGGCCAACCTTCTGAGGTGGGCTTTAAACTGAAGGAGTTGAGGGAGCAGGGTCCAAAACGGCAATGGTCTTTTCAGAGGTGCCCAGCCACAGAACAAGGGACAAATTGAAACACAGAAAATTCCATACAAAAATGAGGAAAAAATTATTTACTTCGAAGGTGACAAAGCACTGGAACAGGCTGCTCAGAAAGGTTGTGAAGTCTCCTTTTCTGGAGATATTCCAGACCCACTTTCCTGTGGACATTTTCCTGTGCAACTACTGTTGTGAAATTGCTTTTGCAGAGGGCAGGACTAGATGTTCTCCAGAGGTCCCTTCCAACCCCTGCAATTCTGTGATTTAGAGGTGCCATATCATACCAGGGTCAGAGGAGTATTTTTGTTTTAAATCAAGGTGAGATAATGATTAAATCTTTAAAGTAATATAAGGAACGAGTAAATAAGCAACAAACCACTAACAACATTTCTTCCTTGATTATATCATGACAATTAGCAGAACGCTGACTTGAAAGAAAGGAGGCAACAGACTACAGAGCCCTTTGCCTTTGATACCAGCCATAATTAAAGAGAATAATGAACAGCTCATAGTACGACATTTCTCCTTGTAATTGAATTCATAACCTCTGGCAGCAATGAGTGCAAACAACATTGCACAGTGCAGGCACTGGTGCTAAGGACAGGCAGTGCTTTCCCAAGGCTAAGAACTGAAAGAGTCAAGGTGGCCAAATCCATTGCTCTGCCCATATGTGCTACCAAAACAAGCCCATAGAAATCACCATGGGATGCACCAGCAGCACCAGAACATGCTTTCCATCTGAATATCCTGTTAGCCTTCTTCCTGAACGCAGCAGGAGCCACGAGCTGTTGGGGGCTACATCACCCAACTCAGCCTGGCCCTGACAAGCACGGTAGTGACGAGCCCAGGCCTGCAATGGTTGGCATCCAGAAGGAAGAGGCCATGGCGTGGGTCTGATGAGATCACAAGCAGAAGCAGAGGCAGCGTAGGACATCATGGACCACAAGAGCTACAAATAATCCCATCACACAAAGATGACTTAACTGCACAGCCACAGAAATGATTCCCTGAGTGTAAACCTTGTTTGCTTATGCCACCAAGTTACCTAGCGAGCTTCCTTCCGGCAAACAAAATCCAGCATTCTGAAGCGATCTTGACAGCAAGGCTACAACCCTCTGTTTCCTCTTCCAGTACCACTCAAGCAGTACAGAGTGATTCACCATAGATTTTTCAAGCAGTTTTGCATGCCCTTCATCTGCGTATTGTTTCTTTTAATACTAATTGCTGTAAAGGTGCTAGCAACCCAAAACTATTGGTTCCTTTTCTCACTATCTTTTAAAACATAGACATTTTTATTGGCATATCTCAGGACTCACCTAGGAAACCTATGTGAAAACAACTCACCACTACACAAGGGTCTTACCAACATGGGACATATCCTAGAGGTTGCTCTAATACTTCCGTCTTCTTGCATGAGGAAGGCAAGATTCTCTCGTGTTCACGTAGAAGATTTGGCATTCAAATTCAATCTACAGTTTACTCTGTATTCACTTACGGCAGCTAAACGTACGTTGTAACATGTGAACCTGCAGAAGAGTTTGTCCTGCTTGAGTACACAATTTGGAAACTTTGCTCTGAGCAGTCATCAGACTGCTGGGAACAAACTGAGAGAATACTTTCCACAATAATACAAGTTTGAACTGTGCTTGACAGAATAAATAGTGGCACATCAACCACATTCATCAGGTATGCTACATATACCCCCTCCTGTGCATGTGGGCAAACTTAGACATAAAACATGAAGATTTGAGGTCATTCAGCTTTCCCCTTTTCCCTCTCCCAATAGGCAGTACGTTAAAAGTTCAGGAGAAAAAGCCAATCCAGTTTAGTGCTGTGAAGGTGGCTGAAAGGAGACTGATAACACATCATTGCTAGCACCTCAAGATGTTAGGATACTGCTTCTATTTTTTTGTCCATTACTGCACAGTGAGAGTGAACAGACCTGGCTCATGTCCGCCTTTCTCCACTGCCTTTAGACTGCTGTGACCAGAGCTGAGCTTCCAGAGAAGCTGACAGTGGATTTAAAAGCAATACTCATTAGGTTTATAGAAGATGAAAATGGAAAAATTCCCGGAGTGCTCAAAAATAAATGTCCAAAATGGGAAGATGTGTTTAAAGTGTATTAATTATAACACCACAATTCCTTTTTGTACCTTCAATTATGCTGTGCCACAGGCAACAAAGGACTCACGCAGTGTGCTACAGCACTGGCTACTAAAGACTGCGAGATCAGCAAACACAAGAACAAATCGTTACTAAATTAAATTTTCCCTTTCCTAAAGGGGAAGGAAAAAAAAAGAAAAAACCCACAGGGAAAAAAAAAAACAATAAGTAAGGTTTGGCAGCATCTCAAGATATAACAAAACATACCTGTCCTCATCCATTTTCTTTTCAGCCGAAAAGCACGCACATTACAAGTATAATGCCATTTCTTCTGCTCTATACATTTGGCCATAATTGGACATGCTTCTGTTTAAATCATTGTGTTTCTTTCCTGTCAGAGACACAGTTCTCCGTCATATACATAATACATAAAGCAGAGCTGATTATTGCTTCAGAAATGTAAGTATTGCAAATCCTTTATTCCCATACATCTGGCTACAATTTTTACTTTGGAGGAAAAAAATATATATCTGAATCAACCACAAAGCTTTTGTCACTGCTTGCCTGGAACTTAAAAACCTACAAGTCCTATAGGTTGTGCAGGGCTGTGCAGAAGCACATGCTGTCCCTCTGCCTGTGTGGAGCAGAAGGTGGCATTTGTCACTCTGGCACGTATCATCACCCGATGAAGAAAACAAAAGGTCCAGACCAGGATCTGGGAGCTGAGCCCAGCTTAACCTTTCCTGAGGAACAAGATGCTGAAAGACCAGCTCTGGCTGGGCAGACGTGATCCCAGCTGACTCTCCTCCTTTCTGGCATTCTCCTCCCTGCCCAAAGGGATACAAACACAAACCCCTTGCACACTTGGGAGCTTTTGTAGTCCCTGCTCACTCCCAGCCACTCCTTCAACAGCCCCAGCCTATGAACACAACTGAAAATGGGAGGGTCCCAAAATTGCTTCTCACTCCAAGAGTTGCAAATACCATGCCAAAACCATTTCTCCAGAAAAAGCAGGAAAGGAATATGTTTGCAAAGCCCCCCAGGATCAGGCAATCATTTAAGTGTTTATGTTTGGTTCCAGGGAATTTCTCAATTGCTTTCCTTTGACCACAAACTGTATTTATTTATTCCTCCGCCTCATTGATGGCATCTGCTACATCCTCCATTCAACCACACCACAATGGGCAAAGCAATATGCTATCAGATGAGCATTTCTCACCCTTGATACTCAACACAACAGGGTTTAAGCCATGCTGGGCTCCATGTCCTTCTTGGACAAGAAATTCTGTTCCTTTTACCATGATATTTTTGCAAAAACCGTGAACTAATCTCTTGCGGATATAGAAAATACATTCACGCTTATGGTTCCATGGTATTCATGGATATATATACCCCAAACACAAAAATGTAACCAGTGGATACCATCCAAGGAGAGATATATTAAAAATACGATTTATATTGGGGCAGAAAATAAGGTTTTTTCCTCATTACTGACAGTATTTACCCAATGCCTCTGCACACATCAGGCTCCCCTGAATCTCTTAACTTTAGGAAAGAAAACAGCATTTAGTAGAAACAGAATGGGTCAGGAAACACAAAAAGATTTGGGAATAATACTTAAAATACCAGAACTTTGATCTATCTAGCTACTCATTCAAAAAATGTGCCATCCCTGTGACTTACAAAGCTGCTAATGCACAAAACTTGTTTTCTTTCCCTCTGTTAGTCAGTAGGACATTTCGTGCACACATGGTATTATTATGGCAAAAAACTAGATTAAAAAAAACTCCCTTTTCCACCTCCCAACAACTTTACTAAGTTCAGACTTGGCCACAGTGACCACAGATTATATTCTTAGGAACTGTGATTATTCATATTTGGTTCTGGATTATATCCCTGTGCGAACAAAGCAATTTATCTCACTGTGGCCATTCCAGGCCTCCTTTCCACTGCAAGTCATTAGGATGTCATGAAATAATATGATGGGATCCAACATGAAAGGCAAATGCCCCTGGATTTTGCCCATCTTTGCCACCTACACACTGTTACCCACGACAGAGCTCAGCATTTCATGCTATTACTAGGTTGAAGTGCAGCCTGAAATCTGGGTACCGTTGGAGATATTGGCTGTTTTGAGCAATGCATTATGAAGCGGTGCCTGGGCTGGTTTGTCCAGGCTGACAGACATCCTTCTTCAAGAGATTTCAATTAGCAGAGCTTCCAGACATACATGGTGCTTTTTTAACAGTCAACAAGTGGCAACAAGCATCTCCTGTAGTACTCTAGGACTTCCCAGAGCATCAGGGGGCCATTTTCAGACATTGTGGCCCACATCGTGACTGAATCCTTCAGATGAAATGGAAAATATTCAGTCCTAAGAACTGGCTTTAACCTCACTGGTGCCTTCACCTTTTCCTTTATCTTGTGTCACTGAAAGAGGATAAATAATTCTCTGGAGCTACTAAAAGAATGGCTCTGTACATGCCAAACAGTAAAGGCAAATGATGGAACCCACCAGAGACTCACAACTTATGCCATTTTATGCATGTCCTAGCACTTAAACTACGCTCATCTCCACATCAGCTGAGTGCCTAGTAAGCCTGGGGTATCCTCACAGATCCAAATAGCTGACCTCACTGAAGGACTGCTAGTCCTGAATGCTGAATCAGCAACTAAAGATTTGGACTGTCATCTCAACCACAAGAAGCTTACACAGAATCTACTTACCACATTGCTCCAGCATCATGGGAAACATTTTTATTCAGCATGCTCTTGTTCCATCTATTTTCTGTTCTTTCGTTTTCCTTTTTCGTGGCTGGGATAAAGCTAAGCTGAAATAAAATGTTCCACATTTCTCTTTGGATGAGGTGATCAACAGAATTTTATTAGCTTCCCCTGGGAAAGGGCTGGTTTCTTTTCCAGGGTAAAGGAGACATTCCTAGTCTCCACTTCTGTCTTTGAAAATGCAATTATGACACACATCCTTCTGCTTATCCCACTGCAAATTTCTAACTACAATACTTGTGACCCTCCCAAGTCTGCCTGAGGAGCAGCTTCATTCTCAAACAGCGTAGCATGACACCCATACTAGCTTTCCCTGTCTCAAGCTAACTCAGCATATTTTGAAGGCTAAAGCACATAAAATGGCAGATTGCAGATAAGCTTGGCCTGCCTTACTGCTACAGACAAACCAAGGCTCTAATTTTTTATGACAAGCTATAAACTAACCACTGAACCACCTGAGGAAGGACACACCTCTGGTGGTGCTATAAGGGCAAGAGACCTGGGACCTTCTGCTCCTAAACAATGTTGATAATACAACAGTTGTTGACTAGGCACACAAGCCTGGCTGTAGGACAGAAAATAATTTTAAGTAGTACACCAAGAATCTCAGAAGTCTCCTTGCAGCAACCCACCAGCGCTCATCTGTCAAACCTGACCTAGGCTTTCTTGTTACCCTTGAGGCTAAAGAAAAAAAAGAAAAAAGAAAAAAACCATTCAGAACAAGTTGAAAGAACAGCTTTCAGAGCACAACGACACCCAGCTGGGAGCTGCCATGTTCATCAGTGTGCCCGTGGAGCAGAAGTAAAGATTACTCACACATTTTCACACTACTAGGACCTAAAACGATTTAGAGAAAGCTACATTTCCTGAACGGCCATGGCACAACCTGTGTATATCACAGGCACTCTCTCTGTCACAAGCCGCTTATGAAGATACAATTTAAATTGTATCTAGTTCATAGCTGCACTGCCTACTCCAATCAGGTGTGACAATGATAAAGTACTACTGAATGTCTTAAGTGGTATTTCTTATTACAGTACTATATCCCAGCTGCCCTGATAACAACAAAAATCAACTGTGAACACTTTCCCTCTGTTAAATTACTGCCCAAAATTCTATGCAGTAGGAAAGGATATTTCTTCATTTGTCTACACCAGAAAGGGATCTGGCCTCAAAATGTTATACAGTGTTTCTGTTAGACACAAGATGACATAGCTACTGCAAATATCCCAGAATCTAGGAATTTTGTTTGCCTTACTTGTCTGTACAAAAGCTGTGATGTTTACTAACGTCATATTTTTTAACTGTCTCCTTTCTCAAACTTCTACCTCAAATGCATGACAAATACTGTTTCAGAGATCCAAGTCACATCTTTTGCAACTTCTGCTGTGTCTTTCCTTTCCCATTTTCTCTTTCAATTTAGTAAGAAAGTATTTTATTTATTTGTAGCACCAACAGCCAATGACTTTGCTGTTTCAATACTGTTTTTTTGAGATTTGCTATAAAAGATCGACAAAACTACTCCAACTACAGTGCTCCAGCAGTAACAGTAGTTATAGTTCAGTAATAATCAGCAGACTATCCAAAATAGCTGTATTATTTTGACAGATTACAACAATTTTAATGGATATTTATAGTGAAAATTAGTATTTAATCCAGCTCTTTTATGCTCTAATACAAAGAGGCTCTAATTCCTCCATGAATACATATATATTAATGAACAGAAATTTGTGACACTGTTAATAACTGAAGCCAGACATACAAGCCAGGAGTGGCAATAAACAGTGGTGTTCTTTTGTACAGTCCATTCTTACAGGAATCCCCCTTATTCTACAGAGATGTAACACTGTGTAATCAGTCCAAGCCATCACCATGTGTAAAATGAAACTTTTTTTATATTAGATGCAACTCCATCAAAATATATGCCAATCCTTCTCAAATGTATTTCCCAAAGCTTCTTACTACTACTGCCTGATGTATACAAATAGGGACATGCTAAAGTACATATCATATATGTATATGCATAGTTACACATGCACATAAAGTAGCTTAAACCCTCTTTCCCTTCAAGCCTATACTATAATATAATTACTGCATCAAACTGCAGGATACCAGTGCACTGTAAGCATTGTTAACAAGGTAAAGAAAAGTTATGTTTTTCGATTTCCAAGAGGAAGGGTGGTGACCTATGAAGTAGTAAAGGAAACCACTCATAAGGTTATTTCAATGCCTTGCTAAAAACAGCTCCTGGAATTACAGGAGTCTCTTCCTCATCCTGCTCAGAACAATTGGAGAAGTACAGATCATTTAAAATATATTAATTTAACAGATTAAAAATCAAAGGAATGCAGACAAAAATATAACAGTTCTCACTAATGGAATTACACCATTTTCTTCTCTGATTTCACTGGCAACTGCACCTGGATTAGCCTAGTGAAAAAGTGCCCCAAATTAAATAATCATTACATTTAAAATGCATTCCAGATACTCAGTGGTCATTCTCTGCCATACTGTTTACTTTTCAGTTTGTCTTGAATTCACTGGGGTCAGTTTTAACTTAGGCCAAAATAAATACTGACTGATGGAAGATTTGGAGTAAACAACACTAGACTGAATCTGATGTAAACTGGTGAAGATTATTTTTTCTGTATGATCAGAAACTGAAATAAGAGTTACATTAGTATTTTTTAAATTCTAGGAGTAACGGACAGCTCAGGACAGTCTAGAGGACAGAGCAAGGCAGGTGACTCTGCAGACATGCAGGCCTGTTACTGCAATACAAGCAAAACAATCCTGTATTATTCACCTGAGTGACAGAAGAGGATTCATCTTCAACTCTTTTACTGATCCTTTCCCTGCCAGCTCATTCCTGCTTTGAAGAATGTCCAGGAATTTAAATGAATGAAACTAACTTATAAGGAAGTTGGTCAAGCACAGGTTTCTTTGTATAACAAAGAAAATGAATATGCTACTGCAAATGTTAAAGGATAAGAGGCCTAACTTTCGCCATAGAGAACTTGATGAATTAAATGGCCTTTGCAATATCCTGCTTTAACTCTGGAAGTATGAAAGCTAATTCCAAAACAAACAAACAAAAAAAACCCCAAAAGCTGAAGAACTGTCTAAATCAGAAGTAGCCCCAATATCCTTTCTCCACATTAAGTGTGGAAAGAGAAGAAACTTGGAAAAAGGGTAATTATCCATAAAAGTGTAAGATTCTTCAAGTCATTTTAAAAAGCTTCTATCAGATTCTGGACATTATAGCTCCAAGGTCATATAAATGATGTAACACCAGGACACCCAGAGTGCACAGCTTTTAAAAAAAAACTACAGTGCAGCACCAGCCAGGAGCTGAGCATTCACTTATAGGCAAATCAGGGGCAGTACCTCACACTCCATCATGCCCATCTCAGAATGCACACCCTGCACACAGATGAACTTGAGCACATCACAATTTAGAGACAGATTTCTCACACATGCAGCTTGTCTCACCTTGCCTTATCCTATGCCAGCTCGCCTGGTTCTGTTCTGTATCATTTCATCCCATCCCTTCTCCTCTCCTCTCATCCCACCCCATTAACTCCACTCCATCCTGTTCCACCCACTGGCCCCAGACCATCCCTGCCAGTGGGTTCCACACCAGAGTTTTCTAACTTAAAAAAAACTAATTATCCAACTTTGACAGGTGTTGCTTAATTATACCACAGCTTTTTGCAGGTGACACTGATCTCACTGCTGGGAACACAGATAATTCCCCACTGCCATCATTATTCACAGAATGGCATTCAACTTCTATTTGACCTTACCCAAAGTGTATCTTTCTCTCGGTTTATCATTCTGTTTCAAAGGAACCTCCTGTTACGGCCCTTCTAGAAACACCACCGTAACAGATGGACTCTGTTCCGCCTGCCTTACACTCGGTGTAAGCCAACCCTTACCCTGCGCTCTGCAGGAGCTGGGAGGGAACTGAGCGCTCCCCCGCTCTGTGCCCCGGTCCTTCACGTCGCACTCGGGCAACCCAAGTTCCACCAACACCCCGCTTGTGCTCCCTCTCCACGCACAGGCAGCACGGCAGCTCAGCCCCACTCGCAGAAATCCCCACAGTCCCACCACCCGACTTTTAAAGCGAAACGGGGAGCCACGCAGTTCCAACACGCCGCACGCAGCAGCCGGGGCAGCACAGCGGGCAGGCCGCGCAGGCTGCTGGGCTGTCCCCGCGGTACCTTCCTGAGGGCCGCCCGCAATGCGCCGTGTTGCGGCGCGTCGGCTACGCGCCCTATGTCCCGCCGCCCGCCGCCGCCGCGCAGTGCCGAGGCCCGCAGCGCCCAGCGCCCTCCGCCCCGCAGCGCCATGGCTGCCGTCGGCCGCTCCGCTCCGCCCTCCGTCCCGGGCCGTCGTGCCCTCTCGGGTTACCGGTCGGAGCGAGCGGCGAACAGGTGAGGAGAGCGGCGAAGCGATGAGACCCTGCTTTCAGATTCATCTATTTATTTAAGAAAAAAAAAGAAAAAGGTACCGAAAAAACAGAACAAAAAAAGGACAAAATTCGCTCCTGCACTGCCGGCGCAGGCCCAGCAGGCTGGGGTCTTCTTTAGGCGATGACACAGCCGCCCTTCTCCTTGAAGGGGTTCTTGTCCTCCGGGACGCCCTTCACCAGCGGGTCCTCTCCTGAGCGCTCCTCGATGTAGTTCTTGATCTCCTCGGAGCACTTCGACACCTGCGGGGAGGACACACATGTTGCCAGAGCTCATGCACTCCTCAGCAGCGAGGTGCTGAGCTCGCACCTTTCCCTGTTTGCCCGCCCATTGGGTACCACAGGCCAGCACTCAGCCCATTGGCTGCTACACTGTTGTATTAAGCACATCTTTCCCGACGTGACTTATAGTCAACACCCTCAGGATCAACGTTTCAGCTCCATAACATGCTATCTGTCTACAACAAATCTATCACTTCACACTTTTTCCCAAACAAAACACTCCATAATGGTTTTTCAGTGATGATACAAATCCCCATCCCAAGTTCTATAGCAGAAGCCACCCATCTTCAATGACAGTCACCTAGGAAATCATTTACTTAGTGGCATGTGGCATTATGCCAAACAACAGCTAATAAAACACTACATGAAGCGGGAACACAACCCACAGGCCTCCTTGCATGACGGCCCCACACAAAGGGCCCCCACAGGAACCTGCCCTGGAGGAGGACCGGGGCTGCTCTGTGCCCCGACCACACACACCTCTCACTTCCCTTCCTGTGGAACAGACACTGTCCTCAGGTGCCTGGATAAGGGACGCCTCTAAGCACAGCTCCCTGCTCTGTGCCTGCCAACCCACAGACACAAGAGCGCAGTCAGCAACAGAATCCAGCTGCTGCCAGGCCAACAGGAGCCATTATTTCTAATTTAAGGCTCGCTGCTTTCCTCCATAATTATATCTTACTCCATAGGTAAAGTTATGCCAAGTGAGATGGTGAATTTACCCACTGTGTCACAGCCTCTGAGCCATCAGAAGTAGCTCAGGATTAATCCTCAACCACAGGGTGTGCAGAATAAGGCCTAACTACCTCTAGCTGTGGTACAGCTATGACCTACAACACAGACTCCATTCTCACTGTGAAGCTTTGGTACAGTGCAGAGGTGAAATTGAGGATGTTGACTGTGCTTTTCTGCAGATGGTTTCAAAATACCCATTTCCCCAGTCTTTTGGTTTATTAGAATACTAGAATATATTGACTAAGTATTAGAATATTTAGACTATTCAGAATATTTAAATATATATTTATTTACATAAAGAGTTTTAAACTCTTTTTAAGAAAATCAAAATCTATGCATTCTACAGAGTACTTCAGGAGCTTGGGAATGCTCTGAGGAATGATCCAGGTGCCTATAGTATCCAGATGTGCAGTCCTTAATACTTCTGGATCCACTGACATTTAACTGACACATAAAATGCAATGAGGCATTGGCACTGCTGCTCAGAGAAGCTGCGGGTGCCCCATCCCTGGAGGCATGCAAGGCCGATCTGGATGGGACGCTGGGCAGTCTGATGTGGTGGGCGGACACGAGCCCTCAGCAGGGGGTTAGTCCACATAGCTGTGCTGTGTGGACTTTAAGGTCCCTTACAAGCCAAGTCCTCATTCATTCAATGAGTCTGTTATAATTGTGGCTTTCTTATTTTGTTGGCTATGTACCTAGATCTAACACACAGAAACAATTCCACTGATCCCCTAATATAAACTCACTTTTAGTCTGAAATAGTTTATCTAGATGTATTTTTTTTCCTGCTGGCATATAGAATTAATATAAATATAAATGGAGCAAGATCAATTGTGTTCTTCCATTTACAGAAAACGTGCAATAATACAACAGCAATAAAAACCACCAGAAACTATTCACCTGTGGAAAGAAATTACCAGTGTGACAGAAAGTATAGTGCTCCCACTGAACGCAGCAGGATGGAGCTGGGCTCTGGGGCACCGGCCCCTCAGCTTCTACCCTTCTCCTGGGGGTGTCCCGCCGGCCACGGCACCCCCCCACGCCCCGGTGCCTTTCACATAGGAGGGGAATTCTGCCTCTCCCGGCACGGCCGCTCGGAGGGGGATCTGGGCAAGAGCCGTCGGGGAGAGCACAGCGCTCCTCTTCCCGCGGCGGGGCCCCCAGCACCCCCGCGCTGCTCCGGGACGGAGCCCTCCCGCTCCGCCCCGCCGGGCTCCGCACGGGGCTGCCCGCCCGGCCCCGCCGCCGCCCGACGGCACCGCGCCGGGACTGCCCGGCCGCCCCCCGCCCCTGCCCCAGCCCCTGGCCCGCCCGGCGGCCCCTCGCTCACCGGCTGCCTCTCCAGCTTCACTTCTTTCCGGAGCTGCTCCACTTCCATTTTCAGTTTGTCCTTCTCGCTCAGATCCTCAATGTTGATCGCCGGCATGGTGTGCGCTGCCAGAGCGCGGAGAGAGGGAGAGGAGGAGGGAGAGAGGACAAAGTGTTACCGCTGGGCAGCGAGGCCGTCGGGCCCGGAGCCCCCGGTAGGGCGGTGGGACGGCGGGGCGGCCGCCCCCGGCCCGCCCCCGGCCTCACTCACCCGGTGCCGCCGGGCTGCTCCGCGGCGACCGCTTCCTCCCCACCGCGCCGGGCACCCTGCCCCGCGCCGCCCGGCCTTTAAACTCCGGGATAATTCCCTCTAATCGGATTACGGCCCTCCCGGCTCCGCGCTCGGGACCTTCACACTGCGGGGCCTCAGCACCCCGCACCCGGACGGCTGCCGGGACCTGCTCCCCTCCTCGCCCCGTGGGGCAGAGGCGGCTCGGGGCTGCCCAGCGCTCAGCCCTCTCCTCGTGTACCTCAGTGCTGCGTGGTCGTGTGCCGCTGGCGTGCTGAGAGAGGTGAGCTGGTCGCAGCAGGTGTTTCTCTTGGGCTCATTCCCCCAAAAGTTCTGTGTTAAAACTACAGGCAGATCAGACTGAAAGGCAGAGAGGAGAAAGAACAGCTGTCAGGTCAGGCTGTCAGTGGGACACATAGCTCTGCATGCCACAGCACTGCACAGAGCATGTAGGGTCCTGCAGCTGTGCTGGGTGCTGGGGATGGGGTACACTCAGAGTGGTGGGTTCAGAAAGCACAAGAAGGACTTATGAAAGCCCCGTGTGCTTGCATACATACACTGCTGAGGTCCAGACCCTGAGCAGAGGTCTCACTCTCTGCAACAAGTGTCCCTTCACCCTGTTTGCGCCCTGGCATCTCTGCTCTTGGCAGCTGCTTTCATATGACGCTAGCAGATATGGGATCAGCACAGCCGCAGCCCTTCACACCAAGCAAAGCTGCAGGCCTACGTGCAGTCCTTTGAGTGGGAGTGTATGAACCCATTTGGTTTTCAGAACCTGAAACGCCCCTGTAGGCAGTCATCCCCCTTCCTCCTTCCATCTCTGGCTATAGCCACAAGGACACTACCTGCCCCTCTCCCACCCACCGGATGTAAGCAGTACAGCAGGATGCCACGATTTACACCTCCTTCCTCTGCCACTGCTCCAATAAGTGTTCACAGGGTTTAAAACAAACAGGGTTTGTTTGTGTTAACAAACAGGGTTTGCTAATCAGATTTATTTCAGTTCACTAAAATCCGCTCCTCTTCCCCTCCATCCCTTTGGCTACTATCCATGTGCAGTTCCTAATCCCTACAACCTATGCTGTCATCCCCATGCCCCTGCTGCTCAGAGCAGTGCCAAGGAGCTGCTGGCTGGGCAGCATAGCCCTTGCTGGGAGCATGGAGTGGGTATAGAGAATGGTGGGCACAGGGGGGCCAGAGCTGAGGGCTGCCAGTGGGAGCAGGGCATCGTAGCCCAGCAATGGAAAACCTGCAGCAGCCACCTGCAGATATGACTACTTCTGCTGACTGTAGCTAATGAAGGCTCTCACCACTCGCTGTTAGTTGCTCCTCAGGTTCGTATGTTTTTACAAATACCCACCTAATCTAAGTGAACTTTGTTGCTGTTACAGCAGAGGAGCAGCTGAGTAAATGCCACACCGTGCTGCAGGGTTGATGGATAGACAGGTTTAATCCAAACTTTGTTTTGTATGTGTGCATGCACAGAGGAAATGGAAAATGGTATTAGTGTGACAGCACTCATTTTGCTGCTATTGTTTGAAGTGGCATTTCAATGGCTTCCTGTGCAATTCCAACAAAATCCAATGAAAGCTAAAGGCCATCAGTCCGATTGTATAAAAATCATCTGTGAGAAAGATGGCCTTTTTTTTTTTTTTTTTTTCTCCTGGAAATAGAAAATCTGGTGGTTGTTTTTTTCCTGCTAGAGGAACCGAAGCTTTATTACAATCACTGTGTTTCACAAGTTTACCCAAAAATGAGGGCATGCTATTAATGGCCATAGTAATAAGATCCTGAAATATAGCAGATGTGTCCCATGGTGATGCCTCACATTGAACCAGGATTCTGTTCGGTTGTTGGTGTAGTTTTGCGTGTGTTTTTGTATGTTTCTGTGTTTTAACTAAAGCAGCTTCTTATTCTTGAGCAACTGGGAGATTTTTGAAGAGAAACAAGAGAAACCATAAAGGTTTTGGGGGGTTGAATTTGCTCCTCTTTCTTGCCTTTGTAGAAAGCAAAATCCTGTCAGAAGCAGCCAGCAATCACGCACGGTACGTGGAACACAGTTTCCCTCGGGGCCTGCTTGCCTGCTGGGGTTATCTTCAGGGTAAACCAAGCCGTGATGCCTCCTGAGACCCATCCAGAGGTTTCATCCCTTCAGCTCTCGGCGCTTCCAGGCCCCGACGCCGGCTCGTTCTCTAGTGCCCCTGGTGCCGGGGCAGCTGAAGGCGGCCGGCTGTAAGGCGGTATGGCGGAGCCTCGCCGGCTGCTGCCGCCCCGCGCCCGTCTCGGGCTCCGCCGTACGCGTCCCGGATCCGTCATTAACGGGAAATTCTGTTCTGGCACCGTCCCGTAACACGGCCGTGGAGCCCCGGCTAAGCCCCCCCCCCCCCCGACCCCGGGGCTCACGCAGGCGCGCGCCCCGCCGCCGACCTGCTGCCCCGTGAATCACCCCTTCCCCTCCCACCACACGCGCAAGGAGGGAGGCGGCCCGGGGAAGCCGTGTCGGCGCATATAAAGCGCTGCCGTCGGGCCGGGCAGCGCTGACCGTTCCCGGGACCTTGCTGCCAGCCGTCCCTCCCGCCCGCCTCCGCGACATGGCCGCTGGCCGCCGCCTCCCGCTACCCGCGCTGCTGCTGCCGCTGGCCTGTGCCGCCCTGGCGCCGCGAGGCCTCACAGGTAGGAGCGGGGCGCGGGCGGCGCTCGGGGCCGCCGCCGCCGCCGCGAGGGTGCCCTCAGCCCCGGCCTTGTGTCTCCGCAGAGAAGCAGCGCGCCTGCCTGCTGCCCCCCGACGACGGGCCGTGCCGCGCCCTGGTGCCGCGCTGGTACTACGACAGGTACACGCAGAGCTGCCAGGAGTTCAGCTACGGCGGCTGCCACGGCAACGCCAACAATTTCCTCAGCTACGACGACTGCGAGAAGAGCTGCTGGACCATCAAGAGTGAGTCCGGAGCACCGAGAGCCCCCGGAGTGTGGGGGGCGTGCCTGGGGAGCTGCACCAGCCTGTATGCCGGGAGCTGTGTCAGATTGGAGTGCACGGGATGTACCACCTTCCTTAGAATCTTAGTATTATAACAAGCATCTATTTAATGCATCGGATTCCCCCTGTAAAGCTTATCCCACGTTTCTGTGGAGTGCAGGTGCTGGGACAAGCTGGGTCTTGCTACAGCCGGCGCACCCACACTCAGTGTGCAGCGCTGTGCTGTGGGGACAAGGGCACGAAGGGTTGGTTTTACTGAGGATGCAATGCTGTGCTGTTGGAATGAGGGCATGTAGGGGTGGTTTGACTGACTGTGGAACTGTTTTTGTTGCAGAGGTGCCTAAACTGTGCCGGATGGAGGCTGACACAGGGCCCTGCCGAGGACACATAAGAAGATATGCCTTCAACTTGAGTTCAATGAAGTGTGAGGAGTTCGTCTACGGGGGCTGCTACGGGAACGGCAACAACTTCAAGGACCTGCAGTCCTGTGTGGATCACTGTCTTCCAGAGAAAAGTAACGGTTGTTCCAAATCCTTAATAAACTAGATGGTTTGAAAGCGATATGAAGATGATACTTTATTTGGTATTTTGCTCTAAATACCTGCACAGTGGTTTTTTTTTAAGCACAGTATGTTTCTGTAGCATAGATGCTTATTATTGTCTTCAGGTTGTGGTGTGTGGCTGCTCTCACCTGCCTTTTACTGAGAGCACTCTATTACTCTGATATGGTGACTTCAAATTTGAGCACAGCTACACCCAGCCAGACTCTTGCCTTCTAGTGAACTGTGCACCTGTTAGATGAAGGGCAGTGAGGTGGGAGACCTGTGCTGGGGCAGATGTCTAGGGTGCTGTGGCTGTCATGGTCAGGAAGGTGATATCCTGATATATGCAGAGGTCCTTTTATGAATTCAAGCCTGAGGGATGCTGTTGGGAGTGCTGAAAGCTCCACACCACCTAATTCAACTATCGATGGAAGACTTTTTGCCTCATCTGGTGTGGCTCTTCCCTGCCTCTCCGTACCAACTTTTAAGAGGAGAGAGGGTAATTATGAGGATGTGACTGTAGATGAATGTTTTCATAAACACCATCTGGTTAATACCTATTGCAGGACAGTGCCTTTGAAGAACAGAGAAATATCAGAATAGTGTTGCTGCCTGTTCTTTATTAGCGCTCAATGAGATAGTTATTTTTGGTTGATGAGAGATTGTCACCATTTCCTTAAGCAAACAGAAAATTATTTTTAATTTCTGTTAGTAAAAAGTCTATAGCAACAGAAGTAAGATTTTGTTAAACATTCTAGTAAGAAATATGGTGAGGTTTTGTACTTCTTGCAGCAAGTGGGTAGGATTTATTAGCAAAATTGTAGCAAGGACAGAGTAAATGGTACCTTTCTCACCTACAGAGGTAATTCCACTGGAATTGCTATTGTGTTCTTATAAACGTGGAATCAGACTGCTGTCTATCTCCCATGAACATTTCTGCGCTTCCAAAAACAGCACTGCCTTTGGGAAGTGAGGATGAATTTCACTTGTGAACTAAGCTTGTTTTCTGTGGCTGCCTGCTGCTTTCTCCAATGTATAACTCATAGGAATAGGATGCAGTAACTCTCTGAAGTCATTGGTAGCACTCATGTCAGTTCAATGGGAGTAATAGGTGTTTAACAACCAAACTGATTGCAGAGTTTTAATATGGTAGGCATAGAGATTATATAAATCATCTCCTTTTTCTTTTTCAAGCTGGCCCCTTGTTATGCTATAGCCCAAAAGATGAAGGATTGTGCTCCTCTTCTGTGCCCCGTTATTACTATGACACCACAAGTAAATCGTGCAAGGAGTTCAAGTACACTGGCTGTGGTGGAAATGCCAACAACTTCGTTACTGAAGTAGATTGCTACAATGTCTGTAGAAAAGGTAAGATTCCTTGGTATTTTGTCAGTCAAAAGCAGATAAACCAATCCATATACCAGTACTAGGTGTCCAATGTGTTCTTTTACTCACCATTTTTTGTATGAATGTATGCTTTCTACAGTTTGGACTCAGTATTCTCAAAGGAAGGGAAAACTGAGATGCAATGCTAAATTGTTCATACAAGAAAAGAGTAATGTGTGGTGGTTATACAATTTTTAATTTTTAAATGAAATGTGGAGAAAGGCACACGAAAAGACATTAATTTAGTAGGGCCCACAAGGAATCAGTATTTAAACGGTTCTAAACACTAATTAAGGTTTTACTTTCTTCCAGATACTTTAAAGTGAGATTAAAGCAAGTTGTGAAATCAATTTACTTTTTTCTTTAGCATTTTTAGCAGCTAACATCCTCTCTTGATTCTCTGCTGCCTGTTCCCATTTCCCATTCCCATTGCTAAAGATTTCTGCCTCATCACTTGTGTTGAATCT